TGTCTCCCTCTATTATGGTATCTCCATTCTTGTGATCTTCTATTCTTCCGCTGACTCAACCTTTCTTGGATCTGTTTTCAAATTCTGTGAGGGAAGAACAGAAGTAGGAAGGTGGGAAAAGATGAGTGTGAAATCATCACTGAAGATACAGCTGCCCACATGGACTGTTACTGTTCTGTCTACATTCATATGTGTTGATATTTCAATGTTAAATTGTCTTTGGAAGAGCAAAATATGCATGGTTTTAAAACCTCAAAAAGTATGTTATAGACTAACTTGATTTTAAATTTCCTAACAATACGTCGACTATCTTTTGCAAATCTGTTTAAGAAAGCCTGGCCTTTGTAATATGAGTGGCAGATATGTTTCCATCTTGTTTAAGGTTTATTTGCAATGTCGTTATTTATAGAAACCTGAAAAAAGTATCATCAGATGGAAAGTTCTGTGACAAAGGTTTAGAACAGTAGTTAGAACCATGTGGCATTAGCACACTGACACATCAGTGGAGCTGGCAAGTCCAAGACTAGACTTTTATCTGTGTGGGGACTGGGTGAGCAGCAAGGTGTAAACTCACATGCACCATGTCTTAGTTTTCTCTTGCTAACGTTCCAATGCTACAAACTTGTAAGTTACAAGTAAAAGAGGTTGATTTCTGCTCACAGTTCTGGTAGTTTCTGAAGGTTGCATTTGTCAGTGGCTTTCATCCTTGTCTTGAGACTCTTGGTAATACATGGAAAGAGCAAGAAGCTTACAAGACGTAGCCAAACTGGCTCTATGTCAATTCACCTGGGCAATAACCCATAATCCACTAACCATATGTATGGTTAAGGGCCACTTAGCGCTCCCACTCACAAATGTAACAGGAGTCACACGAGGGCGGGAACAACCCATATCCAAGGCATGGCACCTGAGCAAAACCAAGCAAATGACTTGGAACAATTATCTAGCCATTAAGAAAACAAAATTAATTCTTTATTTATTACTTTACAATGTGATAAATCTCCAATACAGCTTGGTAAAATATTTACAAGTGGGTAATGAAACCATAAGAGCCTTAATAAAACTGGGGCTAATTCCTGTATGATATTGGATAGAGGAAGCTACAAGAGCATAAATAACAGGGTTGCAAATAAAACATTAAACAAGATGGAAACAAATCTGCCATTCTCATTACAAAGACTAGTCTTTCTCCAACAGATTCCCAAAGCAGCAACACTAACACCATCGTGGAAATTCTGAGCAGTTAATGTGTGGAATGTTTAGCCTAGGTGCACCTTTGCAACGAATGCTGGTTCACACAAACCACACCCATCAAGTAAATACTGGTCTCTTTCCTCCTCCGTTGGATGTGATTCTCCTCAGAGTCTTCATCCCTCTGCACTTTGCATAATAGTTCTAGTGTACTGCACTAACAAAAACTTTAAAACCCATGGGCTTTACTGAAGTGTTCTTATTTGACATTCAAAAGATGAGGAGTCCCTTGAACAACTTCTGAAGCAGAAACACAGTCCTTCGATGAGGACGCTTCCCAAACAGACATTCGCTCATGCCAGTATGAGTTTCCACCTCACAGTTTTCTTGTGTAAACAATAAGACAAATACTGACGTCCAAATTTGCTGTAGAACTGCTGAGCAATGTCACTTTCTTTCCCCCTGGGGCAGTTTTTCCAACACTAACTGCTAACAAGCCTGCAAATAAATGAGTCTGTTATCCCCCTGAGATTAGTGAAGATGATCAGGCATGTGACAGACACAACCATCCCAGTTTTGGATAACCGTTAGTAAAGAATGGTGCTTACCTAAATAGCAGCTCTAAAGATTCACTTCCCTGACCTTCAACTGTATATACTGAGTGACATTTTATATGTAATGTATTTCCTTTTCTGAGACAAGATCAGATGGGATGTTTTCTTCCTATAAGTAAACATAGCACCAACATTGCTCTGCAGATCCTCGTGTGACTGGAGGACTGAGCTTTTGAAGGTTTGAACTTTATAAAATCAAAAATCCATTTACTATCTAGATGGAAAATAACAAGCAGGCATTGCATTAGAAAATGCTCTGGCACACAGGGCTTTTGGAACTCTCTTAAGAAAATCATTTGGAAAGAAAATATGGAAATGTTGGTATATTTAATTATCAATTTTGAAATCATTGACTTTGTTTGCTAAATCTATTTAGCTTAATTGCAAGGGTATATAGGATTGGCATTTTCTTCTAAGAAAAGATAGTCATAGCTTATGTATTTGCTAAGCAAAAATTTTATATGATTTAGATTTATCAATAAGGAACATATAATCATCATTATATACACCTGTTCTTAGGAATTTAAAAAATCCTTTTTTCCTTACCTTTCCCTCCCTCCCACTTCTTTCCTTCTTTCATTTTCTTTCTTTATAAAATATATTTGTTGACATATGTCAGTAAGATGCCCAGGCATGTTTCCAACCTGAGATCCTCTTGCCTAAGCACCCTCATTAGCTAGGGCTAACAAGAATTTTATAGGCTCTAATGAGTTTATATTGATACAAAGAAGCAGAATTATCCGTGGTCTTCAGGTATTCTACCAATTAGTGTGTTCATTTTAAAACAATTTTCAAAACTACTACGTTGCCAGGTATCCAAGTGTTTTTCAGGAGGTGACTTCTTGAAGGGAGCCGTTTCCCTGAACCCGGGGTGTGAGTCAGGTCGCCAAGGCTGCGCATGGAGGTCCCTCTCCGCCTTTGGCCTGGGTAGGCGGACCTCTCCTGCTGCACCGACTCAGCGGAACCTCTGTGCGCGCGCCCGCGTTTCCCCGTCGGGACGCTCTGGGAGGGACTATTGTCCGCCTCCGACTGAAACCGCTACGGGCCAGGAAGCAGCCATGAAGTTTCGCGCCAAGATCGTGGACCTGGCTTGTCTGAATCACTTCACACGTGAGCTGGCAGGGCCGCGGGGAGCGAGCGGAGAGTGCGGCCGCAGCCCTGTGAGAGGACAGGAGGGGTGGAGGGCACAGCTGGGGCCGTAGGCTGGGAGGGCGGCCCTAAGGGAAAGGGACCTTTCCCTTTGCAGTCCTCCCTCACTCTTGCTTCAGCCGGCACTGTGCCTAACCTTGCTCGCAGGCAGTTCTGTTCTGCAGTACCCAGATGCCCCCACGTTTATGTGGAATGTTCTCGATCGTCAGTCGTTCTCTGAGACTGTTTCATTATTGAATACTGGTGCTGTGGGTTGTGTGCCTCGCTAGGTGTCAGCGGCATTGTAGTACTAGCGTGATTCATGAGTTAGAAGCTCTGTAAGATGACCTGTAGGATACCGGATATGCAGCTTAGTAACTGCTTGCTTTACCAACCCTCGCTACAGGAGTCAGTAACATGATAGCCAAACTTGCCAAAACATGCACCCTCCGCATCAGCCCGGAGAAGCTGAACTTCATCCTTTCGGACAAGCTGGCCAGTGGTGGGGTGAGCATGTGGTGTGAGCTGGAGCAGGTGAGCAGGAACGCCCAGAGGCCCCAGGCTCCTGCAGGAATGCTGGAAAGGCCCTAAATGCCCGTCTCTGTCCTGCAGGAGAACATTTTTAGTGAGTTTCAAATGGAAGGTGTCTCTGCAGAAAACAATGCGATTTATTTAGAATTAACATCAGAAAACTTATCCAGAGCCTTGAAGACTGCCCAGAACGCCAGAGCCTTGAAAATCAAGCTGACTAACAAACACTTTCCCTGTCTTACTGTGTCTGTAGAACTGGTAAGTAGAAGGAAAAGGATTTCTGAACTTTCTTTTACAGGTGCCTTATTTATATTTAGGTCTAGGAAGTATAAGTAGCTATAAGCCTGAGCTCTCAAACAGTATTCTTGGAAGGGAATTAGTTTCATTTGAAATATAAGATCTAGTCCAGCTTGGTGGCAAATGTTTTAATTCCAACACTCAGGAAGCAGAGACAGGAAGATCTCTATGCCTATGACTTCTAGGACTACATAGATACACTGTCTCAAAATAAAATATAAGATCTGGCTCATGACTTACAATGAGAAATGTACCTTATCCTAGTCATTTTTAAACAAAGTCTTGATTGCACAATGTTCAACAGGATACTTCTTTTTCCAAACAAACTGCTAGCTAGAAGCTCTTTCAGGGTGTTGTCACCTTGTCTAGATGTTTTTATCCATTTTCATCTTAAAATTTTCCCCTCCTGTCTCATCATCTGTAATATTCTTAAATAACATGTTTAAGAATGTTGTTTCATGTTGGCGACCTAACATGTTCATAGCCTTTCACATATCTTGAAGGCAAATCATAAATTACTCCCCTCTGAGTTGTTCTCTGAATGTGTCTTTTTTTTCCCCAACCCCCAGACTGGTGACATCAATTGGACTATCTACATGGAGTTTCTCTCCAAAACTTTTCCTTTCTTTAGTGCTCTGCCCCACTGGGCTTCCATTTTCTTTACAACTTTCCTTTCTTATATGTGCTTTGCACATCTTGTGGGTAAGTATTGCTTTTGTTTTCAAGCTAGCTATAGAAGTTAATTCATGACCTCATAACTTTTTATGTGTTCTTAAAGCTAATTAGAGCATTCCATGTAATTATAAGTTTATCTAGTTTCTTAAGGAAAAGCATACAATATTTTTCTAAGTAAGAAAGCAAAATACTTTGGTTTCTTTTTTGTTGTTGTTTTTTGGAACAGGGTCTCAATATGTAGCTCTGTGATTGTCGTAGAATTGACTATGTAGACCAGACTGGCCTCAGACTTACAGAGATCTACTTGCCTCTGCCTCTTGAGTGCTGTGTGTGCCACTATACCTGGCAATACTTTGGTTTCTGAGCTTTAGAGATGCTTTGAGAAATAAACATGGTCTATCCTTTTAGTTCGTCAGAAGCTGCAGCATGCTGAGCGTGTGACACACAATGGTGTCTAGGTTGCTTTGGCCCATCAGATTTGCCCCTTTCTGTCTCCTGGGTTTATGAACACTGATACTGTCCCTCTGCCTGAAATCCTGTCTCCTCTTCTTCAGCTTCTCAGAGGCCGCCTGCCTCTCTAGTTTTGATGTCCTCTGAAGCATCACCTTCACTCCCCTCTGGCAGCTGTCCTTCATTTAGCCTCATTATGCGCTTCCTTCAGGCTCTGACGGAGTATCTGGTACAGCTTCGTGCACTTGCTTTCTAGTTGCTCCATTTGTTCCACTGAGGCCCTCTTGTCTCATTCTCTACACTTCTCAGAGACTCACAGGACCCAAAGCAGAACAGATACACCACACCAACAATTTCGGTTGAATAGAATTTGAGAGAATACATAAAGAACATTCCTTTTGGAATTCGAAAGGTTTAGAATTGGCTCTCACGTTTTGCTTTTAGCATTGACAACATAAATGATTATAACTTTTTTTCTTAGCAGTTGTCCTCATCAAGCAGTAGTAGAATTGTGACACATGATATTCCCATAAAGGTCATTCCTAGAAGATTGTGGAAGGACTTACAAGAACCATCTGTCCCAGACTCTGACGTAAGTGTTGTCTGTAGTCCTGTTGTTCAACACACAATTAAGGGCAGGGATTGAATTCTACAGTGCTAAGTGTCATCTTGCAGTGTACTGTATTTGAAGTTGTGTAGTTTCTGAAAAGAAAGTGATTCAATTAACAGGACTCCAGATATGAGTATGTGCCTTTTGCTATATATGTGAATTCTGTTAAAGAACTCATACCCATTTAGAAATGCCATACTTTCCATGCAGGAGTTCAAATGCCTTGCTCAGTGAACCTAAGCTATACTTTGGAAGACAGTCTGTATTTACCATGACTCTTGACCTTAGGCACAAACTCATGTTTCAGAGGCCTTGATGAAAGAGCCAGAAAATGCATTTTTGTTGACTTGAAGCTTAGGTTAGCTGTGACCAGAGGAACCTAAGCAAATAAAGAGGATGCCAAGTGGTCCTTTTTCTTGCATATATATAAAGAAATTAAACAGATACTAGATGAAATGTGTAGAAGGTGTCTATGTAGGTTTGGAAAAAGCCAGCATTACATACAGCTCTGTTGGTAACATAGCTCAAATGAGTTGTGATAATGGCTGGCTGTACTGTTACACAGAGTACACAGAAGGCCCCTGAGCCCTGTAAAGCATATCCCAGAGGAAGGCTTCTTGCTCAGCACTTGAGGTGTATTCCCCTTGGACTTGTATATAGGTATCTCAGTTGAAGTACTGTGTTACTTCTTGAACAATGCTCTTGGGAGTATGGTCACCATGGTAACCAGAGCCAAGTATCCAGGTATCTTTATTTGCTTGAATACATTAGTGAAATTTTCAAAGTTTTAAGGGGACTTTAAAATTTTGATTGAGTTTTTCAGTACATTTCACAGTTGTTGGTTGAGTACCTGTCATTATAGACTATATTAAAATTTCTGACCCTTGTGATTTCTCTTACTGGTTTTTAGGTAAGTATTTATTTACCAGCCCTGAAGACTATGAAGAGTGTTGTAGAAAAAATGAAAAACATCAGTAATCACCTGGTAAGTGATTACTCCTTCAGAAAAGAAAAAGTGAGTTCTTGGCGTGGGGGTGGCTTGTCCTGAGAGGCGGCTTCAGTGTTGACCCAGGTGTGGGTGCTCCTCACCACCACGAGGTGTCTTGTAGTAGGTTTCTCTCAGAGGCCCTGCTGGGGAAGACAGAGCTTGGTGTTGAGATCTGGCCTTTAGGGACCTGTTCTATTGCCTTTCAGCTCTTACTCACTAGGGAAAGCTTTCAAACTTTCCCTTAATCCCTCCAGGAGCATGTTCCAACACTTTCGGTATTTTGTATCTCATAATTTGGACAGAACACCGCAGTTTTTGTTGTTCTCTAATTTGATGCTGAGGAACTAAGTGGAAGGCTTCATGCAAACTACCATTGTGCCGTGTGAATAGTCGAAGCCCAGGTATCTTTTGCATGTTAATATGCATGGGCACATTATCCACTAACGTAAAGATGGACCCCTTATTTCTCTCTATATTTTTGAAGGTCCAAAAACACAACAGTGATGGAGAATTATGTGGACTGTCCTCATTCACACATGGATGTATTCTGGATTCCAGCTTCGCTCACCCCTTAAAACCATATTCCATTATGTTCCTGAATTTTCCAAAGCCACTGCCCACCTGATGCACAAACTTTAACCTTTTCTAACCTCCAAGGCCCCATCTTTAGCAGCCAGGCCCTCCTGGCAGATCCAAACCAGGCTGGCTCTGTCATTTGCCAACTTAGTACCTCTTCATACGTTTTGTTTCCTGCTGTTTTACACTCTGTCGATGTGTCTCTTGTCTCCTTGAAAGTCCTCAGCCACTGTCAGTGTTCAGCCCAACTTCCATGTTGCCTACAGGAAACTCCCTGCACTGAACTTCTCTCCCGAATGCCTGTAAATTCACCATTACCTGGGAATCTCTATAACTGCTAGCTTCTAGGAAGGAAATCGTTCTGAACTTCTGTGTTTCAGAGTTCAGGGTCCGACTGTCACTCAGTAGTCCATAACTGATGTGTTGTTGCATGGATGGCAGTAACATGTAGCTCCTAGGAATCTTTACATCACAAAAGGATTTTGAAACCTAGAAAGTGGGGGTTTTGGTAGTGTTGTTTTTCTCTTGAGTCCTCGCTTGAGACCAGTGCTGTCTTTGTAGTTGCCATGTGAATCAAAACTCAGCTTCCCTTGAAGTAGCATGCACTGTGCTGGCAATGGTGTTGACTGCCACTGCCACAGTGCTAATCTAGTTGTCAGGCTGGCTTCTTCTAAGGTACCCTGGGACTTCTGGGAGGCTCAGGAGGCCCAGAGAGAAAAGTTGGGCGTTTAATAGAGGGATTCATTTGCTTGTTCTTTCTGTTCCATGGAAATGAGTCAGCAAAGTGGAGAGTGCGAAGTGGGTAGTGAGAGCTGTAGCAGTTGTTTCTCTTCTGGAGTGCCTGACAAATGCTAACTGGGAAGATATCCAGCTAGAATAGCCAAATGCATATGAGATCTTTGTGGGTAGCTGGGGATTCTAAATAACTAAGGAGATACCTCCAGGAGAAGCTACACTGTAGAGTAAAGACCTTACAAAGTTAGGAAATTATCTTGGTCCCTTTCCACATTTATATTGAAACATCCCAACTATCAGTAAAGGGTCATGACTGAGTCCCATGCAAAGATACTGCATAAAAGATGGGTGAGGGCCAGATCCAGAAGGGGCTAGGGCTGCTATTGTCTTACCAGGACAGAGAGCTGCAGCTATGCTGGTGTCTGGCCTGGCCTTGGTTCTCACAGAACAGCTTCGGGGAGAGGAGTTGCAGCTCTGACACTCATTTTTTCCCCATGGGTCCTCTCTTCAACTCCTGTTCCCCCTGCCCTAGGACTATCTCCATAGGCTTCTTTTTAAGCTCTCACCACGCCCATCCTATTGGTTCTTTTATCTAGAAAGATATTTGCCAATCTGTGCATGGCACACTGCCTTTCTGGTTTTGTTATTGGTTTCTGGTCTACAGAAAAGCCACATGCAGTCTGCGATCAGCATTCTGCCAGCCCGTCACACAGACATGCCACCTAATCTGGAAGGGGGAGATAGGCTTCCATGTCAATAGGACTGTCCTCTGGGCATTGCAGGCAGACCATCCTCAGTCAGCGAGAGGAAAGGAAGTCACCCTGTTGGCACAGCTCTCTTGTCATGCTGTAGTTTAAGATATGCAGCATTAACATGACCTAAAACTGGTCAGCACATGGTGTCTCCCATGCTTATTCTGTAAAATTTCCGAACTCCAAATCTTCTCATTCTGGAAACAAAACAAGGTAGGTTCTTTGAACTTAGATGTGTTCTTATTTTTGAGCTCATGCCGTTATACACTGAGTTCCTCAAGCTCACAGCCTTTAGTCTAGGAACTTCCTTGGAATAAAAGCTTTCATGTGAAGACTTCTTTCAGTAACCCCGAGCTCATTCTTAACCCACTGACCTAAGATCCAGAACAACAAGTGACCAAAACAGAATGTAGACAGCAATGTTTGTGAATGTTCTGGGGTACTCACTGGGGCTGTGTCAAACTCATGGGTGGCCTGTGCCCATTTGCTTCCAACAACTATGTGCTAACACCTGTAAATTTGATTGCTTCTGAAAAACAGTGCTGTTAGAAATAAATATCCAGCCAGGCGGCAGTGGCACACGCCTTTAATCCCAGCACTCAGGAGGCAGAGGCAGGTCTGGAGCCTCCAGAGCCCTGATCCTTGGCAGAGTATCCCAACAAAGCTGCTCCTACTTCCCCCTGCTGAGTTCTTCACTGGGGAGGGGATACCTTCTTGGTCTTAGGGGATTTCTGAGTTCTGCACTGGCATAAACTTCTCTCTGTGGTTGGTACCTTGGTGGCTTCAGTGCCCTGTTAGGTGTTAGGTTTGTGGCACTGCCTTGTTACCCAGCTTTTGTGGAAGCTGGTGCCCATGTTTGTTGTTTTCCCTCTTTTCAATATTGAATTTTATTCAATTTGCAGGTTATTGAAGCAAATCTAAATGGAGAACTGAACCTAAAGATAGAAACTGAATTGGTATGTGTGACAACTCATTTTAAGGATCTTGGAAACCCCCTATTATGTGAGTTTTCTTGTGGGTTATATTTTGCTACTAATAAATAAATTGTTTCAATATATATTGAGTTTTCTTAATGAGAACATTGAAATTTGATTTTCTTTGTTTCATACTTGAGAAGGGGTGGAGATTAGATTTCCTGTCTCTGTGACATAATGGGGCAGTTAATGCTAGGCCAGCAGACATTGGGGGTGTCTTTCCTCCTCTGGGATTCAGGTCACACACAGTGGCTTCCAAGAACTCAGTAGCTCTTTGTAGTTGGCATTTTCTTTGGGTTGCCAACCAGCTCCCAAATAAAAACATGGAAACTTATTATTAATTATGAATGCTCAGCTTAAGCTTAGGCTTGTCCCACTAGATCTTTTAACTTAATTTAACCTGTTTCTACTATCTTCAGGTCTTTTTACTGTTCTTTCATTCTGTATGTCCTACTTTCTTGCTTCTTCCGTCTCTGGCTGGCTGGCACCTGGCATCTCTTTTTCTTCCCCGAGCCTAATTCCTCCTCCTATGTACTCTCCTTGCCTATACCTCCTCCGTTGCTATTGACCATTCAGCTTTTTATTAGATCAGTCAGGTGCCTTAGGCAAGCAAGGTAAAACAGCAATACATCTTTACATAACTAAACAAATGCAAAACATCTTTACATAGTTAAACAAATATTGCACAGCAGCTCTTCATTTGCTGCTGTGCTCTGAAAGGTTAAAGATTCTCATTTGGATTGGAGCAAAAGTTGTGTTTTTTATTTTCTCCTCTAGTCAGTTCAATACCTGTAAAGTTAAATGGGCGATACAAATGCAATACAGATGAACTTGGTCACACTTTCACCTCATGAACATCAGGAAGGAATGTGAAGTCAGTTCAGTAAGCCTTGAAGGAAGAAGGGGTGGTTGTACAGCTTGGTGAGCAGTGAGCCCAAATTAGACTTCCTCTCCTCAAATAGGGAAATGGCCAGAGGGCCAGAGAAAAAGTGTCAAACAGATAACTCCATCACTTTTAGAGTTACGAATGGTTATTATAGGTTTGCTTCCAAATAGGCATAGATATTACCATAGCCCTGAAAGAAACAATTACTTTGTAGTGAAAAGCACATTGCTCTGGCAGAGTGAAATCTATAGCTTCAAGGCTCTGACAATGGTATATGAAATGACCTTGGTTTTCTTGTTGCTGTGTGTTTGTTCACAGTACTTAATGAGTCGAGGGCCTCTGCATGATCTACCACCGAGCTACATCCCCAGCCCTGGCATAAGTTATTTTAGTGTCAATCATTTTGTTTCTCAGGCACAAAGCAGGTTATCAGTACTTGAAAGGTAGACTTCTGTTTTTTTGTTGTTGTTGTTGTTCTACTATGTAGAATTAGTCGTCTGGCATTAACCAGCTGCATTTCAACTTTTGAATTCATACTGAACTACAATTTTCTCTTGTGCAAACAAGTGGCTGAGATGTACTTCAATACCTTTTAAGTGAAGCTCCTCTAAAAATTACAATATTTTAAATAGTTCAAATGCCTGCTGAATGAGTAACATTTACAAGTTATAGTTTACTAGTTTGCTAAAAGGAGGTATAGAGTTGTTCAGTTAATAAGTAAATACCCACTGCACATTTCTGAGTTCTTGTTATGTACAGAGATGTTGGATTAAAAACAAAATTTTCATGTAATTTCAGCCTCTGAGAGTGCCTCTCAAAGCAGACACCCAGAAGACATGGCTGAGGTGCACATTGACATAAAGAAACTCCTCCAGTTCCTTGCAGGACAACAAGTGACTCCCACCAAGGCTGTGTGCAGTGAGTTTGCTTTTCCATTTCTCACTTCTAGTCTAATATGCATATAGTCTTCTAAATGCAAATATGCCCAGTTCCAGGAACTCAAGCTCCCTGGACAGTCAGGTTGTGAAGTTTCCTTGAGCTAGAAGATGTTGAAGAGTGATGGTGGGCAGTGTGGTTCCAGAAAGTTAGTAGCCATGCTGGACTGGCAGTGGGCTCTGCCTGTGATATTGACTGCACAGTGCACACTATCTCACAGCAACTGAGTTTATCAGATTTTACATGATCAGAGCCCTGTATATGCTTTTGCCTAGATCTGAGTTTCAACTTGAGCCATTTCCTTTCTTTTCATTGCCCACCTGACCTGCGCTAGCTACCAAAGTCTTCTCGGTTCTTGGTTTGGGCCCATCCTGACGCTGGCTACTCACTGCCCTGTTCCCCTTCACCTGCTCTTCCCCACTGAGCTAGGAGGCTCATCAAGAGCTTCTCAAGGCTGTTGTCTTCCTGTTTTGTTTTGAAAAAGGCATAGCAAATGGCCTAGGTGTGACATCCCTCCCTTTGTGGAAAGTCCCCAGGATGACCTCTCATCCACAAAACTGAGGAAGATGACCTGGGACTAGACTATATAGTAATGAAACAGAAAGTTCTGAATGGCTCTGTCAAGGACCAGCCTTTCTAAAAGAGAAAAGGGATGTGTCCTAGTTAGGGTTACTATTGTAATGAAACACCATGACCAAAAGCAGCTTAGAAAGGAAAGGGTTTATTCAGCTTATACTTCTAGATCACTGTCCATCAACTCAAACAGGGCTAGAACCTGGAGGCAGGAACTGATGAAGAGGCCATGAAGGGGTGCTGCTTACTGACTTACTGTTTACCATGGCTTGTTCAGCCTGCCTTCTTATAGAACCCAGGACCATCTGCCCAGGGACAGCCCCACCCACAATGGACTGGTCTCTTTCCTATCAATCACTAATTAAGAAAAATGCTCTCTCGAGGCTTCCTACAGCCAAGTCTTACTGAAGGCATTTTCTCAATTGAGGCTCCCTTCTCTGGTGACTAGCTTGTGTCAAATTCACATTAAACTAGCCAACACAGGGTGAGAAACCACAGAAGAGACTGTGAGAGGCCATGGGGTTAAAACAAAGGGAAAGGTTTGGTGGTATGTGGTATAGCCTATCACAGTGCACAGGACTGCAAATACTCAGACCTTATCCATATACTTTGGTCACCTCATTGTGGGTACCTGGTTAAATCAGCCTGATTTTTCCCCAAAGCCTGGAGAGCTTCATTCTTCATCTCTCACACTGTCTCCAGTGGATGGCAGTAGCATGAATCCTCAGAGGGAGCAGACACCAAGCATAGGAGGTGTCCACAGCAAACAAGCAGTTGTGATAGGTGAGGATGAAAACTGTCTTTAACATCTGGGTCTTTTTCTCCTAGATATTGTGAGTAACAGAATTGTTCATTTTGATTTGCTTCTGGAAGACATCTCCCTTCAGTATTTCATCCCAGCCTTGTCCTAGCACCATGTCAGCAAGCTTGGCAGCAGAGACCTTTGTTGTGATGAGAGAAGCACTGGATGGTGTGGTCAGTCACCTGTCTGTCCTTACAGCACCATAGACTTGTACTGGGCTATGCTGCTTGAAGCAGAGATGGAATTAATGAAGCACAGTTGGATAATCATTCTTTCGTATTACTCAAGACCAGCACCTGTCCCTCCTCCCCTTGGTCTAAGACATTAAGAAGAAAAGATAGAATTTGTTTTTATAGGGTCTTTTGTTGTTTTGTTTTCCTCTGGTGCTTGAGATGAGAGCAGGACCTTATGTGTGCTAAGCACCTGCTCTGCACTGAGTTGCTACCCAGCCATATCTAGTATGTGACTAGCAGATTGTCACTAAAGTTGCAAAAGTCATCATATGTATAGAATTGGTGTTGCAGTCAGAATTCACATGTGTACTACCTAGCTAGTTTCCCGCTCAGTCCCCGGTACAGCGCAGCTGTCTGCTTTCAAGGTTTAGCATGCTCATCCCCCCCCCCCAAGTCTGGGTGCTCAAGACATACTGGACAGTCCCTCTGTCCCTGGCCATGTGCCTGGTTTCTCGCAACACTGAGTATACAGCTGCAACATGTAAAGCCTTGCCCAACTTACTGAAGATTCAAGTTCACTTCCTTCTCACTGCCTGCAGATTCTCACAGCTGGGGAACCTGCAGAGCCAGAGACCTGAAGGCCAGCCCAGACAACCCACTTCCCATCTTGAACTTGTCCTTCTGTGTACTTTCTGCCTGAGCCAACTTTGGTTTTAGGTTATAACCTATTTTCCTCTTTCATAGTACTCAAGATCAAACCCAGGACTGGGTGCGTGCTAGGTAAGCACTCAATGCCAAACTATATACCCAGTCATTTAAAATATAATTATTTTGTGTGGTTCTCTAAAGCACATGGTGTTTTGCATAAAGTAGTTGAAGCTTGGGCATCATGGATGAGGCTGTGTTCTGCTCCTGTATTGGGGCTGGCTCATCCTGGAGGGTGTGCTTTCTCCAAAAACATCTCAGCAGGCTTCCTCTTTTAACTAGGTGTCAGGTAACCCATGAAGTGGTATCAGAACTGTTTTCATGTTACAGAATTAAGACCTAAATTGCCTAGGGTAAGATTTGAAGGGGGGGAGGAACAAAATAGAGCATTTTTTTTTTTGGCTTTTTCATATTTAGGGAATTTACTATTTCTCAAGTGCTGCTAGGATTATTTGTTTCAGTTTCTATTAGACAGGTTCCCATGTAGTTCAAGCTGTAGCCAAGATTAGCCTTGAACTCCTGAGCCTCCTACTCCCAAGTGTTGAAATGACAGATGTGAGCTGCCACAACTCTGGCTCTGATATTTAATAAGATATATTTAATTAAACTAACATGTCAAAATTAGGGATTCTTTAATTGTTTAAGCATTTCTCTCTTCTTTGGCTTGTAATGAAAGGCAGTCCAGGTGCCATGATAAAGCCTCAAAATCATGATGCAAATGAAATTTCAGGAAGTTCCCTATGAAGTTCGTGTTTTTTGTTTTTTTTGGGTTTTTGTTGTTGTTGTTGTTGTTGTTGTTGTTGTTGTCAAACTGTCAGTGCCTCACTAGTGACTAATGTCACTGCCATGTTGCATACTGATGGCCATGACTTTGCTTAGTAACAACATGGGGAAGAAGAATCCTTCATGGCAGTCAAGAGGTTGTGGTCTTTCTGGTTCTTGTCACAACTCTTTGCATGGTGTTCACAGCTTGTATCTCACAGAGCTGTAGTCAAGGGAGGGGGCTCTGGGAGTGGGGTCTTGAGAACTTGGAGCTACTTTGTGGAACCCCATCCTGAGGTGAAACTGGGTGAGAGCAAGAAGCTTAGCCGTGTGTAGAAGGAGCGTGAGCTCTGAGGGTTGGAGACTCGTTTTCACTTACCCTGATGGCCTGGGACTTGAAGCTTGAAGAGTACTTTCCTGAATGTTAGAACCACTAAGTTACCCTGACCTTACCTGCCAGGGCTCAGAACCCACATGGTAGCCATGTCTTGAACTGAGATTTAAGACTGTCCTAAGACAGTCAGGGATACAGAAGAATTCTTAATGCAGCCACTCGTGCCAATGTCCAAGCGGCCTTGTTATCCTGTGACCCTCCCCTGGTCCATCAGAGACCTTCCTACCCATCAGGTCTCCAGTGGTCCTTCCCTGTATCCTGCCACAAAGAAACATGTTCTTGGAAACCTGAAAAGCACTTCTACATTAGTCTTGAGGCAGGAATACTGGTTCTTTCACCAGATGCAGTGGCCGATAACATCTTGGTAAATGTCATCCAGTTGGCGGAGTATCCATTGTGATGAATAAAATTCTGTGCTTTTTTATTTTAAAGCCTTTATTGGGATATCAAAGTGCACAGCCTAGAGGTTCCTTTTTGATGGTTCAGTAATGCCGTTGTTCCCCACCTTTCATTCTGTGCTTTCTCTCCTGGAAAACCTTGCTTGTTCTGGACAGTTTTCTAACCTCCTCCCAGGCCTCTGGTAACCACCATCTTTACTATTGCTGTAAGGGCCCAATAGGAGGTTCTTGACCCTCATAGTTCTAGATCAGCATCTGTATATTGAATACATATTTACCTCTACCTTCATAACATGGCTTTGTCCATGACCTTGCTTTGACAAAGTGTGGCTCCTAGCATTCTTCACATTTCCATTGCAGTGAGTCTGGTCATGTTTCTTCATCCTAATGGCCCTGAGTAGGCTATCTCTGTTCACACTGTCCCCAAGAGACCAGATGCAGAAGAGACCAGACCCAAGTAGGTCTCCTACAAAGTCTCAGAAGGTGGGAGAATCCAAATGCCCAGCTCCACTGTAGAATCAAATATAGGGGATTTCTCCATGTGTGACCCAGTGAGGTTGGAAAAGGAGCCTCATAGTCTCTGACGTACATTTCGCTCATGGTTTTGCATTTCTCTGTGGCTCAATGGGTACCACAGCTTCACTCTAGAGTTTGGAGAATTCAGGGTGGTCATCTCTCTACTGGAAAGTTATTAGTTGGAATTTTGTAGGGACATGGAGAAGGCATAGATTTCTACCACCATTTTGCTAATGCTCCACTCCAATTCTGTGCCTTTATGTGGATTCTGGTGGAAAATCTAAAAGGGAGCTTGAGTTTGTGGATTTTTCTCTAAGAACAATGTTCAACTAGGAGGTGATAAATTAGGGTCACTTGGACATTGGGGGGGGGTATGTTAGTACCACTTCCTGGGGTGCCATTTGCCTTTTACTCTCTGTGGGAAAGCTTGAAACTGCTCCCTTTGATTTAATACTTAGCTCATAAGACTTGTTATACAAGCTATGGTCAAAGCTGAGTACTGCTATAAATTAAGGATTTGTTAATGTGAATGACTAGGGAATTGGTAGATGATCTATGCTGTGATGTCATTTCCTAATGCTACAGGACAAAGTACTATGTATGGTAACAAACCCAATGCGATGTTGGTGTTCATTTTGGCAAAGAAGACCATGAAACATGTGTCTAAACCCAGCAAGCTCTTGGTGGTTTTTATTTCAGTCTTTTTACATTTGTAAACAAATAACCAACTTTGTAATGAAATTATTTTTATAGAATTAAATAAATATTTATTATTTTACTATTACTTGGAATTTATTTATTAATATACATATTCATCTGACAACTTTAATTTCCTGAACATTATAGTTTAGGCTTAATTCTGGCAGCACATGCTTATTTTTTTACAATGGAAGTCAAGACTTTTTGCCAGGTTAAAGTTATACTGGGTGCAGAGTACTGGAGTCTGGGTTAATAAGGCCATTTTACATGGAAAAAATTTCTTCTTATAATGGGCCCAATGTGAATGGGCCCAACATGAACAAATTAGCTTTCCTTCATTGTGACAAAATATCTGAGATAATCAGCTTTTAAAGAAGAAAGGCTGGGGCCGATAAGATGGCTCAGTGGGTAAGGGCGCTTGCTGCTAAGTCTGACTATCTTGAGTTTGAACCCACAACCTACACTGTAGAAAGGGAGAACCAACTTCTCAGTAAGTTGTCCTCTGATCTATATATATATATATATGCATGCAGTGGCTTGCATGCATTTGCACAAAGACACACATACACAAATAAATGCAATTTACCTACTAGGCAAAAAGCACAGGGGTGTTGAGACATCAATATCCCTTTCAAGGGCACACTCCCAGTAGCTAACCTCCTTCCACCAGCCCCCACATCTTACAGGTCCCTCTATATCCATGCAGCTGAAGCTCAAGTCTACATGTGAACTTCTGGGGGCATCAAAATCTAACCTGTATGATAACGAAGGTGCAGTATCTAACCCAGTCTACAGAGGAAACAGAGCATTTTAGTACAGTTTTTTAGTCTAAGCATTTTGGGAGAGAGCAGCTAAACCAGAATCCCTCACAAATCACTGGGCACTCAATAAGAAGCCCAGGGACAGTGGGACAAAGAGAAACCACCTGCCTGGAGTCCAAGTCCCTGTTGCCAGAAGCACTCTGAACAATACTGTATTCTACACTCTAGCACCCCAGGCTAAGACCTGCCTATTCCCAGCATCCAATCATGGACAATCAGTGGCCTCCTAAGGGGCCACCAGCGGGTGGTTGGAGTGACAATGCAACACTTTGGCCCATTTCTAAATTAAAAGGCAAATGTTGACACTTGCAGGCTTTACAAGAAAGTGAAAGCCAGAAGTTGACCTTCTCTCCAGGGGACTGATCACCAGAAGTTCCCAACAGCACAGGGTGCAAAGGTGCTTTGCCTATGAGTATAGCATGGGCACAGGACTCCAGTGACACCTACTACTCTGCAGTTCAGAGGTTTGGTCAGTGTGTCCACCATGACACCACTCGGTTACCATAAGACCCCCCACCCAGATACCCTCTGTTCCTAACCCAGGGTTGCTTATAAGCTTAAGCTTTCAGGGGGTCTGTGGATAAACACCCTAAGCACTTTTACCATCCACGTGTTCATTTAACTGTCTGTCATTATCTTTCTTACAGAGACAACATCCCACGTAGCATCCTATGTCCTGTGAGGTACCCTGCCTGAAGGGGAAAAAATACAGGTGCCCAGACAGAAGCAAGAGTCAGAATGAGTTGAGTTTCTGCCCTAGGTTTCTGTACTTTAATCTGTTTCCTTTGTGGTTTGCAAATGACTCTGCCAAAGAGTCGGAGGGTATAAGCAACCCTTGTAGGTGGACAGCACAGGACCAATGTCTCCTTCCCAAGGTCCAACTCCATGTTCATGCTTGGGCCTCACCAGTTCCTGGAGCATGCTGCATTTTCAAATCAAGAATGCCATGCTCAGTGTGACCTGAGTGTTTATTCCTCCTAAGTACCCAGAGGACCTCCTCGCTGACTGAACACATTGCAAGTACCCAGGAGAAAGAACAACTGCTTTACTCCAGATCTGGGGAAGAGAGAAGCCATACACTGGGCACCAGCTCTCGTTCTGAGCCTGCCTTTGCACTGTAGAGCCATAATGTGTGTGTATGATCTAGATTTTAAAAGGTAGCACAGTGTGTCAAATGATGTCATACTTCATGACATGTACATGCATGTATGTCCATTGTCTGTTTCACAGAACATTTGTATTAGTATAGGCTCCAGATAAAAACAAGGAGAAGAAGCAAGGTTAGAGGCAGCCACAGGAAGCCAATACAGATAACTGTACACTAATCAATTAAAATATACTTACTCTACTATAACCCTTAGGGTACAGTAGTAGCACACATACCTTGTCAATAGCCAACAGGTCTTTAGTTGCACTTAAGACCACTCAACAAGAGACCACACCTGCTACTGGAACCCTAGCCATGTACCTAGGGACAGTGAAATCATGGATCTTGAAGGAAAACCTATAGCCCCACACAATCCTGAACTACCCTCTGAATATGTATCCTTGCACACACAGATAAATGTTGTCCTTTACCCCTTGACAAGGAAACTTCTTTCACAGTAGACAGACCATTACAGAAAACCACAAGTTATCAAAAGCAGAGGTCTAGAGCCCACTCTACACCAAAACTCCTGCACCTAAGGTTTAGGGAACATTACAGAAGAGGGGACAGGAAGATTGTAAGAACCAGAGGAACAGGACATTTGTTCTGAGATGGTATCTCCTAAAAATGTCAGAGAAGCTACACCCATGAAGTCTAACCAGCATGGCTGCTATGTATGACCTGAACAACTGAACAAGGACAACACCAAGAGACATGCTAGCATGGATGGGAGAAAGCTCAGGAGGCCCCAACCCTAGACAAAGAACTACAGGCAACCAAGAAACAAGTCTTAGAGTGGGAGGAACAGTCTTCCCCGGGGAAGACCCAACACCAAATGATCAGCCCTGAAAACATGCATACAGGTAACATTATAAGGGCTGAGCAGGTGTATTTATATATTGAGGTATGTGTGTATGTGTGTATGTGTGTGTGTGTGAGAGAGAGAGACAGAGAGAGACAGAGAGAGACAGAGAGAGCAATTGATTAAAAAGAGTCAGCCAGGCAGTGATGAATCACATCTTTAATCCAGCACTTGGGAGGCAGAGGCAGACTGATCTGAGTTTGAGGCCAGCCTGTTCTGCAGATTGAGTTCCAGGGCTACATATAGAAACACTGTCCTAGACTCCACCTGACCAAAGAGAGAGAGAGAGAGAGAGAGAGAGAGAGAGAGAGAGAGAGAAAAAAGAAAGAGACATTAGAGAGCAAGTGGGCAAGGGGAAGGGGAGATGTAATTATATGAATGATGTAATTATAAATGGAAAAAAATTTAATAATTTAAAAAATTATGTACCAATAAATTTCTCCAGAGAACATATGTGTATTGTGCTTTTCTTAAGAAAAGTGTTGGGCTGGAGAGATGGCTCAAAGGTTAAGAGCACTGGCTGCTGTTTCAGAGGTCCTGGGTTCAATTCCCAGCAACCACATGGTGTCTCACAACCATCTGTAATGAGATCTGGTGCCCTCTTCTGGCAGGCAGGCAGATATACAGACAGAATACTGTATACATAATAAATAAGTCTTTTTTAAAAGTGTTGAAACAAGTGAGATACAAAGGTGGACATGTTGATTCCCTGTGCTCACAAAGGCTATTAAGAGAGAAAAACCACAGAGGTTGCCAAACCCTACAACATTGCTATCATCTCTATTATGATTATTGATGTTGTCTAGACAGAGAACAGTTAGGGAATGGCCTCTGCCCACATGTCAAATGGTCAAAGGAACAAAGGCATTTGGAAGCAGCATATTGAGACATTTGACTGTTGTAGATATTTTTATTTTGAAATAAATGAAAACAATGGAAGATTATAGAAGAGACAGATATTTGTAATTCAATTATGTGGACCAAAATGCCTCATCTCCCCTTCCCTCCCCTCTCCTCTCCTCCTCCTCCTTCCCCAATGCTCCTCTCTCCCAAGGCCTATCTATCACTTAATTATGCTCCATCTCTAAAGTTCCCACAGTTGGTATCAGATGTAGCAAAGCCGTTTTATAACAGTAAAAGTGTGCACTGACCTGGTATTACAAATGTAACGCTATTTTTCACAAAGCCATGTACTTTAGTCCTTTAATACTCTGTTTTCTTTAGCGAGCCACTGTTGATCTCTGTCCTTTTAGGGCATACTCACCTTTGAGGAAACAGCCTTTCAGCTGCCTAGGGCTCCTCTATGCTGGATGTTTCTCAGGGAGACATTGCCATTGGTTCATTGCCCGTAATATGCTAATGAAGCAGGGAAGGCTCACAGCTCTGGCTCCTAGGGAGGAAGGGTCAGGCCTGGCTGTATCAGGACCCTTCTGTAGACATTCTCCCACCATCACTCACAGCAGAGCCACTTGTGATCTTTGTGCTGGGCAGAAGACCCCATTGGAGCAGGCTGTCTGAGAATGGGCTGGAAGGTGCTCGTCACAGCCTGGGCGCTGTTCTCCACTCCAGGGATCAGCTCAAGCAATGGTAAGCTTTGGTTCTGTCACAACCTTAGCAATCTACCCTCACCCCATGCTGCACCAGCACAACTTAGCAAAATCTGCCCAGGCACTGTATTTAATGCTCTAAGGATATTGGGACCCTGAGGGTGGCTTAGGCTGGGGAGTGATGCAGAGTATCCAAAGACTGTCAATAGGAGACATCTACAGGGTGTCTCTAGGAACAGAGAAGAAATGAGTATTGGCAATTTTGCCTCCTAAGAAAGGACAGACTAGCCTGTGTATTGCTTATGAGTGAAAGGTGGAGTGATGCTGGCCTGCTTTTTGGTGCCTCTCCAGCGAGCTTGGTTTGAAAGTGAATGTTAGCTGTGAAATAATACTAATCGGAATCTGAGCTTGAGACCTGGGATGCAAAGCTGGTTGTTCCTACAAACATCCTTCTGGAGTTACCTTCCCTGTATCTTTTGTTATGCACCTATCATAGCTGCAAATGTGTTACTGCCTAGGTCAGAACTGGATGTTAGATGCCATCCACAGCTGCCTAATATACAAGGAATCATCTCAGAAAGCACCCATGCCTTTGG